AGGGGGACAGCTTGAGGCTCTGTCTCAAAAAAAAAAAAAAAAAAAGACTTGGATTTATGAACCAAGATTGTGATGGGAGCATTATAATAAAGTGTAGGAAAAACAGAAATAACCATAGGCCATTTTTGGGGTTAAGTAAATTATGGCACAACCACAGAACAGAAAATTTAATATTCACTCAAAAATAAGCTTATATAGGCTTACAGTATACAGAAAGATTGAAAAACGTCAGGGTACAAAATGATATATACATACAATGTTGACACATTATCTCTGGCCTATAGGTGTTTTTTTTTCCTTCTTTCCATTTCCTCTATATTTTCTAGGTTTTCCAAATGGAAACGTGTTCTTGTGAATGAAGGGGAGAAACTAGCTGTATATGTTTTTTTCTCTGATATCGAGGTTATTAAGTTAATTAGGGCTGTATCTTTCATACCCTTAACAAAGTTTTGGGGTGGGAGAGGCAGGCTGGGATTGATGAGCTAGGCCATGTGTAGGAAAGTCTCTCTCTCTAGTGAGAAAGCAAAAAGGGAAAGCAGCATTTCTTCTCGGCTGCCCTCGCTCAAATCCACTCAGAAAGGAGGAGACAGGACAGGAAGGTTCAGCGAATTTCTCCAGGTTCTTCAAGATGAGAGAAGGTACTGAACAATTGCATAAGGGCGATGATTGTAGATAAACGGCTACAGCAACAAAGGGCTCAGCAAGGAACTTTCAGTTCCTGAGTCTTCTGAGGTAGAAATGTTGCCAAATTACTCTTGCTGCAAAGACCTTGGGACACAATAGAAGCATAAAAGAAAAAATGATCTCCTGTGATTCCACTTTTAAAACAACAGAGTGGCTGATAGACACAAGATGTTCCTCAGAGGTGCCACAGTGCTGAGACTGACCAGAGGGAGGCGTCACTCACAGACTGTGAGTCCTTGCCTGTAACCCTGATCCAGGCAAGGACACTCCTCTCTCCCACTGCAATTCTTTCTGCTTCATCTAATTGGCATCTCCTATACCCACTTGGTGACACGTCTTTTGCTGCTTACACATATTCCCTGGCCACTCAGAAAGCTGAACAGCATGAACACACAGATTTCCAGAGACCCAAAGGGGAGATCAGGTATCACCCCCAAACGGTGAAACCAGAGCACTCACATGCAATCTCATCCAGGGCAGTGACCACAAACCACATGATGTTCCTCTCCGCCATTTTCAATCGAAGGTCTGCAACCTTGTCCTTCCAGGAGATGCCTGCAAGAGACAAACCTGCTTGCAACTCCAGCGCTGGTTCCAGGAAGTCACAGGAGCCAAGTAAAAGAACCCACCCGAAACATTTTTAACCAGCACCAGATTTTGCTGGGAGTATGCTGCTTGCACAGATAGAACTAGATTCAAGCCTTACATACAAAAAAGCATGATTCGGCCAGGCGCAGTGGTTCACGCCTGTAATCCTAAAACTCTGGGAGGCCAAGACAGGTGGATCGCTTGAACTCAGGAGCTGGGGACCAGCCTAAGTAAGAGTGAGACCTTGTCTCTACTAAAAATGAAAAACTGAGATAAGAGGATCACTTGAGCCTAAGAGTTTGAGGTTGCTGTGAGCTACAATGCCACGGCATCCTACTGAGGCAAAAAGTGAGATTCTGTCTAAAAAAAAAAAAAAAGCAGCACCTGTGGCTCAGTGGGTAAGGCACCGGCCCCATATACTGAGGGTGGCGGGTTCAAACCCGGCCCCAGCCAAATTGCAACAACAACTACCAAAAAATAGCCAGGTGTTGTGGTGGGCACCTGGAGTCCCAGTTTCTCAGGAGGCTGAGGCAAGAGAATCACCTCAGCCCAGGAGTTGGACACCATGGCACTCTACCGAGGGCAATAAAGTGAGACTCTGTCTCTACAAAAAAAAAAAGCATGATTCTGCCCAGCAAAAGCATGATTTGCTGGTGAGGCAATCAGGGCTTACAGCAGTCCCATTTATGCATCCCATAAATGCCTAAGAAGCATGTAGACCAGCCAGCCTAGGTATCTGCTGGGCGCTATGCTACTCACTGAGGTTACAGCTCTGTGCTTAGTCCCTGTCCTCATGGGGCTTATAATCTAGAAGGGAAGACAACCCTGCAATCAATCACACTACTGTAAGGGAGCCAGAGAACTCCCTCGGTTTCACAAGTCAGGGGAACAGCACCTACCACTTGTTATTCCTGGGGCTGCAAGACTCACCTTTTGGTGTTAAGGAATTCCCTGCAGTCTCACTCACTGTGATAACCACTTCCAAATCACATCCCCAGGATGAAGCAGTGGCCCTGGAGAAGCTTAGGAGCTCAGCTCACCCCCTCGCCACCAGGACCACCCCACTATGGCAACAGTTGTTAACTCAGTTAACAGCCACCTGTGAGCAAGGTAGGCCTCTGTTTTATCCACCCAGCACCTAGCGCAGTGTCCTGCATAGAGAAGGCATGCAAATATTTGCTAAACAAAAGCTTTACAACATTTGCTCTCTAACAAACAGTACGTCAGAATTTCTGCTTCAGTGAAAGAAAATTCAAACCATACGGATGGAAAATACTTAGCTGACCCTGGGCCACTCACTGGACCCATCCTCCACAATCTGTAATGCCCTCCAGTGAGGGCCGTCACATAGGAAAGCAAGCTGGGGCTGCTCCTACACCAAAGGCTGCTTTGAAAATCAGCTCGGGAATGCTGTTTAAAACTTGGCCCCAAGTCCAGGCTGTCATGCTTTCTTCCCAGGACCCCTCTGGGCAGGCTGCCTACATTCCACAGTCATCCCCCATCCACCTCTATTTCTACAGCAAGGCGCCTCCCCTGCAGCCCCACCTCCCAGGCGGCTCCCATTGCCTCATCACTGCTTCATAAACCTACACTGTGGCTCACAGAACATGCTCCTTGCCTAGCGCTATTACACAGGCCAAAGAAACACACCTGCACCCCAGAGCTTCCAAAGCACAGGGGTCTGGGAAGGTAAAACTACAAATGCTAACTTAAGAATGGAAAAAGAACTAGAAACCTGAGCTCTATTTCCAATATCAGACACTGTACCATAGTAGTTAGGACCTGAGTGGTAAAATAAAATAAAAACTCAGTCCTCGGCAGCACCCAAAAAGAAGAGCTTTGCAAAAAAAAAAAGTCAAAGCAAATGGCAACTAGGATGGCAACAGAGGAAACAAATAAAGCTCCTGATTTCTCAAACATCCCACTGGGACAAAGTGGGGTGAAATCCTCCCACCAGCGTGAACTTGTCTTGGATTCAGAGGACTAGGACGGAGACAGTAGCAAGGGGGGAGGACAATAGATGGGGGCCCAGGTGGGCACAACCACAGCTCTGACCTGTGTAATCCAGGCCCAGCGTGAGGAGGGGCTTGCACGGGCGCTCGGGACGGTCTGTCCAGATTTTGTCGACAAGGTTCTCCTTAACAGGAATGAGGAGGTGGCCAGCACTTCTCAGGACTTTGGCCATCTTCTTCCAGTAATCTGAGGAGACACGCGTGTGGCCCAGCCATGAACTAAATGCCCACTTCAGCCGAGGCAGACAGCAGGGCCTGGAGAGCCCAGCACCTTCTGAAAGGCGATCCTCCCATGGCCCAGAGCTGTATGTGCAGGACAAGAAACTGTAAAAGGACATCTCCACCAATGGCTTCCTCTGCCTCTATGCCATAATACTTCTCACCTTGACATTTATCATCATGACATCAAGTCACGCTGAGCCCCCAAATGCTCCACATCCCACAAGGTAGATGGAGAGGAGTCTAGAAGCCACTTCCTTACCCAAGCAGGAAGGAACCAAGCTCACTCACCTGTAGGAATGATCAATGGGTCCACACCGACCCTGGATCCTTCAGGAAGCACACTCACCAGCCAGTCTTCCTGAGTTGGTGTGTCCTTCAGACCTACAGAGGGAGGAACTGATAAGAAATAATTCCCAGCACCCACATCATTAATGATTCCCAGGCCCACATTCATCACCCCACAAAGAAGGCTGCAATTCACTGACATCACAATAGCAGGATCTTTACGAAGCATCTTAAGGTGTATTGGCAGGACTCGGAAAAACTCTACCTCCCTTAATCCTGGAAAGCTACAGAAACAGGGGAAGAAGCTTAAGTTGGTGTGTAAGAAAAGCATGATTTTCACTCAACCCCTGGTGAAAACAGTATCCCAGGGATCACTGCAGCATAGGTGCATGGTGTCATCACAAAGCATTCAGTCACTCCCCACTACTGGTCACTTGACAAGAACTTGGGTGGTGACTGGGTGAAATCTGAGAACGGAGAGCCTCCCTGACATCACACACTAGTAAGGAGACACCAGGCCACTGGTGCCCGGCCCTCATCCGCAAGGGGCCCACAACCGGCCTCTGCCTGGAAGACCAAGCCTAAACCTCAACAGCAAAGAAGTCTTTCCAAAGACTGTAAGAAGGACACACAACAACCCACTGCTGTCTTGAGAATGGCCCTCTGGGCTTCCCACCTCCTGACACCAGACAGCCCTTCTAAGATCCTAGTAATAGTACACTAAATAAGCTTCCAGAAAGGAACTAAAATGACTTTACAGCCAGGTTTTTATAACCTAAGCCAATACCCTCTAGCTCTAGCCAATCTCTTTGAAATGTATTTTTTTTTTAGCCAATTAGATTTTCTCTTAAACAATTAACATCTTAGGGACAGGTATTTTGCAAGGCTGGGGAGGATCGCTTGAGGTCAGGAGTCTGAGACCAGCCTGAGCAACATAGTAGGACCCCATCTCTACAAAAAATAGAAAAAATTCTCTACTGGCATAGTATCATGTGCCAGTAGTCCTAGCTACTCTGGAGCCTGAGGCAGAAGGATCACGGGAGACTAGCAGTTTGAGGTTGCTGTGAGTGAGGATGACACCAATGCACGCTAGCCCAGGCAACAGAGTAAGACCCTGTCTCAAAGAAAGAAAAAACAAATTAACATCTGTGTAAAATATTGACTATTTAGAGTAAAAGTCTACATATTCTAAGCAGTGCTTCTCCTTACTATTTTCTCTACTGATTATTGCTATACCACAGAACCACAGAAGGGAAGTTCAAAGGTTTACAAAGAAATGAGCTCATGAATACCAGTCCTAAAAAAGTGCCTAGAAGCTGGACTGAGTTTTATTTTGCTATTTGATTCTTTCCTATTTTTTTACAAACCACTAAAAACAAGCCACTTATTAATGAAGTTTCTCTTGCGCTCCTAGTATAACTTTCACAGGAGGAAGACATGTCACTTCCTAGCAGACAGATCGTTGGCAAAAGCCCTAGGATGAATTACGCACTGGCCAACAAACCCACCACAATCTCCCTGCCCAGGAGACTCACCTCAGGAAATGAGAGGGGAGCTTGGAAGGGAGAAGGGCTTACCCCCACTCCTCCCCTTTCTGCCACAGACCTGCTTTAAGGAGCAGGCAGGTAGTATTTGCTCCTCTGACATTCTGATCCCCAAACTGCAAAAAGACCTAACAGCTTAAATCTTTGGGCCTCAAAAAGAGATGCCCACACCCCAAGGGTACACTTAATGATCCTCTGGGTAAGAGAAGAAAGTATTAAAACTCCTATGTGTATTTATTTTCTTAAAAATTAAGAAATTCATTTTTGGTAATATTTGGAATACAGATAGACACTAGCACATACATATAAACATACATGCATTTTGATTGCATGCTTCTTTTCAACCCCATTAAAAGAAGCATGCAATTGGGTGGCGCCTGTGGCTCAAAGGAGTAGGGCACCGGCCCCATATGCCAGAGGTAGAGAGTTCAAACCCAGCCCCGGCCAAAAACTGCAAAAATAAAAAAAAATTTAAAAAAAGGAAGCTATTTGATTCAATCAAAAAAGCATAAAGGCCACTAGCCTCTCCATTCATAAAGCCTCGGACACCTGCCTGTGGTGTAAGAGAGAGAGTGAATGAGAAGGAGAAATCAATGGCAACAATCTGTAAATTTTGCGTTTTTACAGTTTAAAAAAGATTTTTGAGAAACAGAAATTTTAAATTATCTCCCTACCAGCACAAAAATGTTCCTAGTCCCTCCTTAAGACAAACTGCACATATGTACAATGTGGAGAGTGCATGGCACACACTCCCTCATTCAGGGAGCTGCCTGGATCTCAGTGTCATGGCCCGGCCTTCTGTTCCCTGCCCTGTGAGTCTGGTGACAACTTCCTTTCCCCATTGCTTCCTACAACAAACAAGAAATATCAGCTATTTTGCCTTACCTTCTTTCTTACTTGGCCCGAACAGCCCTTTTTCTCTTTCCCTATCTTCTGTTCCTTAAGTTCAAAATTCAAGAAGGAAAGATCTTTGTACAACTACTAAAACTATGTTTCTAAAGACTATTTTAATGCCAAGGAAAAATACACATGGCACAAAATTAAATGAAAAAGTAGAGTACGCAGATACTTATTATTCAATAAACACTGAGCTATATCCAACTTGCCATATATTATGTCTTTAATCCTCACCACTTTAGGTGGTACATACTGTGTAACCCATTTTATAGATGAGGAAACTGAAGCACAGCAAGTGAACTAAACTAGCCCCTGAAAGTTCCAGACCCAAGCTCTTGCCCTACAAACTGCTCTTCTCAAAGCTGAGCTGCCAGAAGCAAGTCCAGGATCCTCAGAGAGAATCTCAGAAGGAGAACTTTCTGGCTTCTGTTGCCAGTGGCCCCTCGTCTTTATCTCACTCTGGATCATCAGGCAGCAAAGAGTAGCAGAAAGGCTCCCAGTGCACAAGTGAGATGCACGGCAAGCTAGACGATCTGCAGCAAATCACGCATCCTCTCTGGCCCTCAATTTCCCCTGGGTAAAATAAATATTCTGAACCAGGACCTTCCAAAATTGAATGTGCATTGGCATATATGTATAGCCATGACGTTTTCTTGGTTCTCCTTGGATTCTCAAAAGGGTCCATGACTATATAAAAGGATTAAGAGCCAGGAGTCCTGAAGATCTCTAGGATCCCTACCCAGAGTGGGGCAACTAAATCTGGGCTGACCAAGCCTCTACCCACCCATCTTCATGAGCGTCCAGTTACTGTCCATCTGCTTGGCAGCCTGAAGAAAGTAGCGCCCATCAGTCCACATGGCCGCATGCTCTTCTGTGATGATGGCTGTGCCTAGATTAGGGAACAAAGAGAAAGATTTCTGATAAAAGCTGCACAAAACAGCAGCAGGCCAGTGAGAGTAGGGAGAGGCACCCACTCCTAATGGGGGCAGATGGATCCTCGCCTTCAGGGAAAGCTCCAAGCAAGATCACACGGCACCACGGACAACCAGCGCTGAGACAAGCTCTAAAGGAAACAGCCCTGAGACCCAGGCTGCCTGGCGCAGCAAGGTACAGCACAGCAAGTCAGGGTCAGCAGAATAGCAGACTATGGACCTATGGCCAAAGTGGTCTCATAATCAACAAGACAGAGGTAGGGCTGGTTCCTCTCAGTGATCACAGCCCTTCTTCTGCCCCACCAGAAACCCCAAAGGAGCATTTCACCTTTCCTGAAGTGAAACCAAGTGGACCCTGAGACTGTCCTGCTGTGGCCACCAGCAAGAAGTCTGTGCCTCCTACCTCTATCTGCTCTTAGTTCCCACAAACCTGGAAGACCTCTGGGCTTTCAATACAAACGTCAGCCAAAGCCAATCCTAACGTGCCAACTAACACAAATACTTACGCCAAAGGAAGCAGAGGGCTAACCGCGAGGGGAGAGGAGCTCTCACCTCATCTAGCTTACTTAAGAGATGGACGCCTGAACAGGGAAACCACCCTAAAACTCAAGGGCACAACATTTTGGGGAAAGCTATGGAAGGTCACCAATGTGGCTCCACATTAAGCTTTGTTTGGAAGCCAAAACTGAAAACACAGAAACCAAAAGCTAAGCACTTACAGAATTATTGAAGACCAGTAAGTTCAGGCCAGAACATCCCTCAGGTCAGGGATGCTATTAAAGTCCCTTTTTTATTTGGGGTGCCAATTAAACAGGTATTTTCGGTTTAAATGATGCAATTTTTTGTATGCACACTGTATTTAATAAAAAGTTTAAAATCCTTTTTAAATAAAAAGTATTAAAACTTAGAAAGCAAAGGTACAAAGAAGAGCAAACATCATTAAAAAGTGACTTTAGGGGCAGCGCCTGTGGCTCAGTGAGTAGGGAACCGGCCCCATGTACCGAGGGTGGCGGGTTCAAACTCGGCCTCGGCCAAACTACAACAAAAAATAGCCAGGCTTAGTGGCGGGCACCTGTAGTCCCAGCTACTCGGGAGGCTGAGGCAGGAGAATCACCTAAGCCCAGAAGTTGGAGGTTGCTGTGAGCTGTGTGATGCCACGGCACTCTACCAAAGGCAATAAAGTGAGACTCTGGTTCTACAAAAAATAAATAAATAAAAGGTGACTTTGGGGAGCTAGAAAAAACTGGGAACCCACACCTTTCAGCAGAGGGTCAATGAGAAACATCTGGTTTACTTTTTCCTTTGCTTCTGTATCGCAGGCTGAAACTGGGTTTCGTTATTTTTGAACATGGCAGACAAAGGTACAGCAAGAAGGGAGAGAATTTAGTCCCTCACCTGCAGAGCCATCAAATCCAGAGACGAAGGCCCGCCTACAGTCACATGGTGCAATGTACTCACTCTGGAAAACAAAGACGACAACAAATTAGACCTCAATCAGTCATGAGCTGACTGTTTTCTCCATCACTAGGCCGGGGGGCTGGGGGATGACCGCAAAGGTTGGGGAATCCTCGGCATCTGCCCTCAAGGAGCTAATAGTCTGCTGAAAATTAGAAATTAGCACAGACTGCAGAAGACTGTAATTAATTAAGGACTAAAAACTGTTCCTTTAGCTTCTATTTCCTCATTTGGAGAATCAAGCAAGTCAAGAGAAATAGATAAAAACTGCTCTTTCTTCGCTGAGATCTTACTCAAAACACAAACCAATAGCCTTCCTTGCCACTGACATTTTAGGCATCTGTTCTTTTTCTGAAAAGTCAGTCTGAATTTCTGTTTAAGCACCAGTAATTCCCTAACTAAAGTCTCTTTAGACATGGCCTGTTTCTGAACTTCCTGTTTATGTCCCCCTCCGAGGTAGCATCACCAATCTCTCCCACACAGATCCTGTCCCTTCCTGTTAGGCAATAAGAGGAAACACTTCCTCCAACCCAAAAGGCTTCGGCAAAATCAAATGTCATATCCAAACCCAGGTCCTTGCCAGCTGATAATCAATCCCCTTGCTTCTGAATGGAAGGGAGTTAGGGAGTGAAAAAAGTAAGAAAGTTTTTATGCCTAGGTAGAGGGCACAAGCCCGGGTGTACAAGTTCTGTCAATTGCCAGTGAAGCACAGAGAACTTAAGTAACTTGCCCAAAGTCACATAGCTAGTTAAGTAGCAGAGGTAGGATTCAAACCTGGGCAGTCAGCTCCAGAGCCTAGACTCTGAAGCCCTGTGCCAGGCTCTCCTCCTCACCCTATGACAAAATCTCTCATTCTTATAATAACTCTCCAGGATAAGGCCAACAGCAAGCGAGAAAACTAAGGTTCAACGAGAGAATCTTTAAGTAACTTGCCCACTGACAGATTACCAGCAGGCCAGGATCCAAAACCAGGTCTGCTTGAATCCACAGTTGCTGCGCCTTCTGTGTTAGCGGGTTTCTCCTAAGCCAAGCAGAGTTCCGAATACTTTGGGTGGAAAATGGGGCTACTGGCAGGATCCCAAGGCATTTTTAGGACAGTCCATATGAGGTAGGGGGAAAAGAAGCCCATGTTCCACTCCCACCATGAGGGCAAGACCTACCCCTTTCACCAAAGCAGTCTCAATTACAGCCTCAAATCAGCAACAGCGCCACCCTCCAGGGAGATTCTAGAAGGGCCAGCACAGAGTACCACTGTCAGAGTGAAGAAGTTCTCAGATTGCTAAAGGCCACAGAAAGTATGTTTTATTCCTAAAACTTAAAGGGATATTTGGTAGATCAGAACAGATAAATATTTGATAGATACTTCTCTAAGGAATAAAGAGAAAGGGCCACCAGCATCATTTATGAACTACAGAATCCTCATTTGTTTATTAACCCAGTAATCGATGGGTACAAGGCTTTTAAAAAAAAAAAAAACAATAATGGGGCGGTGTCTATGGCTCAAGGAGTAGGGCACCAGCCCCATATGCTGGAGGTGGTGGGTTCCAACCCACCAGAAACTGCAAAAAAAAAAAAAAAAAAACCCACAATAATGGGAGGAGGGTGCTGTCTGCTGTCCCACCCCTCCTTGGACTATTCTGAGGAGCAGCAAGTTAATGTTTTAAAAACCTCAGCAGAGGACCAGGTGTAGTGCTGACACCTGTAATCCTAACACTCTGGGAGGCAGAGGCGGGAGGAATGCTTGAGCTCAGGTGTTCGAAACCACCGTGACCAAGAGCAAGACCCCGTATATACTGTTACTCAGGAGGAAGGAGGGTCACTTGAGCCCAGGAGTTTGAGGCTACTGGGAGCTACAATGATGCCACTGCATCTAGCCTGGGCAATACAATGAGATCCCATCTCAAAAAAAACTTCCCTGACACTTGCAAGTGCTGCACATGCGCAATGGAGATATTATTAATCTCTTATTCCTGAACAGCAAAAAAGCATCTAAGCAGCTGGGAAAACTAAGTTAACAAAAATAACGCTTGTGCTGAACACTACTGTGTATAATGGGGAATACGCAGCAAGGATGCTCTGACCAAAACGTGCTTCTGTGGCCTTGGGGCTCTCCTCCCCCCACACAGAGTAAGAAAGCCAGGAGAGGGCGGTGCCTGTGGCTCAAAGGAGTGGGGCGCTGGCCCCATATACCTGCGGTAGTGGGCTCAAATCCAGCCCCCGCCAAAAACTGCAAAAGAAAAAAAGAAAGCCAGGAGAGAAAGCAGTGTTGATCTTGGCCACACTGGATTCTTCCACTCAGGGACGCAGTTCTCTAAGGAAGCCCCACCCCTCTCTGGGCAAGCCTGGGAGGTGAGACAAAGGATCCACAGGGCTTACCCAGGGTGCTCCATCAGCAACTGCAGGGGAAGCATTCCTCCAAAAGGAGGTGAAAAAAAAAAATTTTTTTTTCAAGGCAGAGTCTCTCATGTCACCCAGGGTAGAATGCTATGGCATCACAGCTCACAGCAACCTCAAACTCTTAGGCTTAAGTAATTCTCTTGTCTCAGCCTCCCAAGTAGCTGGGACTATTAGGCGCATACCACAACACCCAGCTATTTTTTGTTGCAGTTGTCGTTGTTTAGCAAGCCTGGTTCAAACCCACCAGCCTCAGTGTATGTGGCCTGCGCCCTAACCACCAAGCTATGGGCACCAAGCCCAAAGGGAGGTGAAATTAACAGCAGATGGACATGTTTAGTTTGGGAATGAGATGAGGTCTGGGGTAAGACCATCCAGACATAATCTAAGTGGTCAACAGGCCAAAAAGACATCATCTCGTAAGGCTGGCCACAGCTTCCCCTCCACACCAAGAGACTATGCAGATACCAGACACACCTTCAGCATGGACCTGCCACTCTTCTTCCTCCAGCCATGAAGCTGGCAATGCCCAGGGACATTCCCCTCAGAGCAAGGCACAGGGCCTAAATTAAGCCACACCTGTAGCATGCTAGGAAAACAGCACAAAGAAACACAGCTGTTAGCTTTTTCTCCAAAACCATCCCCTTCTCTGCATCTCTAATAACAACACTCAGCCCAAGTCTCCATCATCTCTACCTGGACCCATGGCCCTACAATCCACCCTGCACACACACCTGGAGTGAGCTATTCAAAATGTGTGTATACACATGCATACGATCATGTGAGCCAACTCCTTAAAACCCTCCAATGGCTTCCTATTATATTTGCGATAAAATCCAAACCACAGCCCAGTCCCCATGGCACCACTTGATCTGACCCTGCTACCCTCTCAGAGCGCTCCTCCCACTCATGATGCTTCAGCCACACCAGCCTCCTTTCTGCTGTCCACATATGGAGTTCATTCTGCCTCAGGGCCTTTGCACATGCTCTTCCTTGTACCTATAAAAGTGCCCCCCCATCATGGCATGGCTAGCTCCTTCTCATTGTTACATTTCAAATCAAACGCCACCTCCACAGAGAGGCCTGCCATCCACTACCCAGCTAAAACAGCCACCCAGCCACTTTTAACTCTCTACATAGCATATTTTCTGGATGTTTCTCTCAATGAACTTGTCACATTTATATTGTATTTTTCCTCCTCCCCAACCCCTAAGAATTTAAGTTCCATGAGATCAAAATTTCTTATTGTCACTGTCCGGTACAGGATACAGGTGGTACAAAGAAGGTCTTCAACCAATATCTGCATTATAAATGAACAAGCAGGAGATACAAACCTTTTACCTAGTAAAAACCTGAACCATCTCTATGTAGATCAGCGGCTCTCCAAATGAACAAGCAGGAGATACAAACCTTTTACCTAGTAAAAACCTGAACCATCTCTATGTAGATCAGCGGCTCTCCAAATGAACAAGCAGGAGATACAAACCTTTTACCTAGTAAAAACCTGAACCATCTCTATGTAGATCAGCAGCTCTCCTGTGGGTTGCAACCAAGGAAAATATATCCTGCATATCAGTTATTTACATTAAGATTCATAACAGCAGCAAATTTACAGTTATAAAGTAGCAACAAAAATAATTTTATGGTTGGGGGTCAGCACAACATGAGGAACTGTATTAAAGGGTTGCACCATTAGGAAGGTTGAGAACCACTGATAGATGGAGGAAGGGCCTGAGCTGAGGAACGCAGGTGGCCTCTAAAAGCTGGAAAAGGCAAGGAAATAGATTCTCCCCTCACAGGAGACCCTCTAGATGTGATAGAACCCTGATGACCCATTATAGGCTTCAGAACCATAGGATATTAAGTTTGTTTTAAGCTACTACGTCTGTGGTAATGTATTACAACAATGATAGGAAACGAATACATTATCTGGTAGGAAAAAGATCACCAGGGATATTTTAAATACGGTTTCAAACTCAAATACTTAAAGGTACAGGCAGGTGAGCCAAACAAGGAAAGCAGGACAAGGCGTGTCCTTTCTAAGGAGACCAGCTCTTATCTCTGATTTCTGCCATCTAGAATGCAAGCCACATATTTCCAAACTTCAACATTTCAGGAGAAACTGGAAGTATATGTGTCCATAAGGAATTATACTTCTCATGAAATGCTGGCATCTAATTCAAATAATGTAAATAATAGATAGTCAAATAAACCATATCTGTAAACTACAAAAAAAGAAGAAGAAAAAGCTTTAGTCATCTCTCAAAATCTGCCTCAAATGCCTCCCCTTCCATGAAGCTTTCTGCCCTACTCCAACTTTCATGATCTCTCATATTTCTGAATTTTATAAGACAGTTGGCATTTATCCATACCCTACCTTGGGTAATGCTAACAACTAATACTGCCTTAGATTATTTACTCAGTATTAGTTATTACTGGTTCAACACCTCCTAGTTGCCAGGAACTTTATTCATATTTCCTCTAATTCTGATCTCGACAGCAGCTCTAGAAAATTATCATCCATCACAGATGAAAAAAATGAAGCTCAGAAAAAATACATTATTTATTTCCCCAAGGCACCATTATAATAAATGCCAAGGCCAAGATCTG